TGCAAGTTTGACAAGTGAGCAGACAAGAATGACAATGTTACAAGCAAGTTTGACCTTGAGAATTCAAGTTTATCACAGTTCGATTCTGTCACAATCAAGTTTGACTGTCAAACTTGATTGTAACAGAATAGGCAAGTCGATATCGATTGTTACAAATTTAGATTGTGACATACTTGAGTTTTCAAAGTCATTTTTGTTTTGCTCCACTTGTCCAACTTGCCCCCGGAAAAAAAGGGTAGTCAGTACTACTTACAGTACTTTGACAAGCAGGGTATCGTCAAGAGGCTCACTAATCACAGATTCGTCCCTGTGCGCTCGAGAGCAAGATTGGACCCTACCACAGGGCACGGTCTGGGCCTCTTACAAGCGGAAACTCGTCGAGCCGCGAGCATCTTCATCATTGGAAACGACCGGCCAACGTGGAATCGGCGAAGTGCCTGTGGATCTTCCGGAATGGAAATGGCCACGACCATGGGACCCGAGACTACCTTAGGACAAATCTTCCACGATATTGTCTCAAGAACATACACGTTAATTTATGGGAGATTCTCAAGGAGAGTGACGGAGCCGTCAGAGAACTCTTCGATCGAACCGCTGCAGTGCGCCATCTCAAGGATGGAGGCTGCTACGTAGCGTGTGAGCGTAGCGGCCCGACGCCTAATCGCCGACACTAATGCCTAAACATGCTGTGGCTACCATACTTTCATGTGACCAGGAAGGGCTTCGGTTTGATAGGGTGTCTACCCAAGTGACTTCAGTTTGTCCATTCTCGGGTTGTGGTCGTCACAGCCCAGGTCGGTATGGAGGCGGTTGTCTTTTTAAGTGGTACTGACTGATTTCTCGTACTGTAGAGATCTCAATTGTGGAAGGAGTCCGATAACACTCCCGAGTCTTTGTTCTGTCGATTGGGCTTTGGCCTGTGGGGGAATATCCAGTAATGGGGAACCTTTCAGAGATGTGGCCGTCAGGAAGATCCTGTGGGGCTTCACATAGCCATAACCCTCAGAGGTCGCCGGGATGGAGACTATAACACAAGCCTCGAAACGAGCTATAGACATGCGAAACAGTTCATGGTGCTATAATGAAGAAGCAACATTAATACGCGACGATACTCAGTGTGCAGCTGGAGGCTCGAGCAAGGCAATAACTACTAGAACTAGAGGGAATGCCGGTTCTCGCCGATCAACTGAACTGATTCCTCGACACCGCATCCTTACAAAAAACACTAAGCCGATTGAATGGATGGGCGAAAGTACATCAAACAGCACAAGATCGTTGAGCAAATAGACAGCAGACGAAAATGTAAAACATGCATCGCTTCGCTCCGCTCATGTTTCGTGCATTTTGCACGCATCCTCGCGACGCCTGGTAGGAAATCCCTCTGTAGTCCTCTGTCTTGTAACCATCGCAGTAAATGAACCCCGCACAGGAGCTTTTCGGAGATCAGCAGGATGATGACCATCAGCAGAACTACATTCGTAATAATGGGCTCATGGGGGGGATCATCGTCTGAAACGGTCGCGGGTGGCTGGAGTGAACCGTAGCAGTGTTTTTTCACCTCCTTGTTTCGGCCTGCGGTCCGGGGGCCCAGTGAAAGTGTCACTCGGCGAGCTGGGTAGAGCTTCTATGAGGAATAATTTCGTGGCGCGCGGTAAATGGCGGCGTCGGGCAGCGGTTACGTTGTCGCGAAAGGACTACCTGGGATGGAGGATTGGGTGTGTTGAGGATGTGTACGCGTGCAGATATCCGAAACCAGCAGCGGAATGGTAGAAAGAGTCTGACCATCATCCAGGGCTTGCCCAAGCAGTTCAGCTCTAAGAAAATCCTTAAGCACTTCAAAAAGGTAGTAGAGCATGGGGAGTTCAACAGCAGTTCACGACCCTCACAGGAGTTCAATTGCAACGGTAGCATTACGGAGGACCCCGAGTTCGGCAAGGTTATCATGATCCAGGGTGACAAGCGAAAGCTGGTAGGAGACTTCTTAGTCCATGAGGGCATCGCCGAGAAGGATTTCGTCAAGGCAAGATTGCTACTGCAAAGAGGCTGGTGGAGTGACGGTCGGCACTGCTCAGGTCCATGGTGTATAAGCGCGTTGTCTATTCCGGAACGTTCCTATTGATGATAGTGATGGTATTGTACGATGAAGTCTTCTATCCTACACTTGCTTCCATTGCTTATCACTACTAGTCTTTAGTTGGTCTTAGGGTGTTCATACCACTCCTTTAGCAATTAGTCCCTACCTTCATCACTGGTCATGGCTGAACGAAGTGTTGTCGATGATGGCGGACCAGCAGCAGCAGGCAATGTCGTCTTCGATCCATCGGGTATGATACCACAAGGTGATGAGGATCAGACCTATCAAGCACAGCAGGACCAAGCGCTGGTTATTGGTAATATGGTCCCTGCTTTTGAATTCCCTGGTAGAGATGGTATGCCGCCGCCGCCTTGGGCTGCCTTTGACCCCTCGGCTATGGTCCTACCAGCGATCCCTCCAGGGTTTGGTCCGGGATTCTTCCCGCCGCCACCGCCAATTCCTCCAGGAGCCACTACTCATCATCTAACCCCTGAGAGCCCAGCGGCCATGGCAGCTGCCGCAGGCTTGCCTCCTGGATGGGCCGACTACCTTGCCACTGCTGACAACCCGGGCGAGATCGTTCAGGCTATTCACGACTTGGCAGCAATCCAACAACTAGGGCCCGAGGACGACTCTGTCCTCCCTAGAGGGGTGTGTCGAGAAGGGCGTGGTTGGGTGGCGAGTGTAAGGCTACTACGCAAGCAACTGAAGGGACCGGTACGGCATACTATACAGCAGGCGGCGAGCGACCGGCTTCATATGACGATGTTGAAGAATACCCGACCCCACCATGAAGTGCTTGAGATGGTCCGGGCTATGAAGCGGCGGAAACGCCCTAATAGGCAGTCTGGGCTCCCACCGTCGCCTAAGCAGCCTCGGAAGCAGAATAGGATAAGAGAATCTGAAGAGTATGAAGACTTGCAGCATGCAGGTGCCTCTCAGCAAGGGGATGTTGATGATGATAATAAGACCGGTAATTCCGCCGTTGTAGCAGCTGCTGCTGCTGCTGCTGCCGCGGCTTGGCCGGCTCCCCCTGGTACTGACAATGGGAGCTCGGTGCTCGAGATGGGACCATCGTCTGGTGGGGAAGGGTCGAGTAGCTCTACTGGACAGGGGGTTGGGCCTGGTGCTGGAGACAGGGATACCGAGGCTTTATTGGCGGCTAATATTCACCAAATGTCTGTACTACAAGCCCAGCAGTTGAGTGTATTACAACAGCTTATGTTTACGCAGCAGCAGGCGGCAGCTATAGCTGCCTCAGCGGGGAGGGGCGACGAGGAGGGTGTTGAGATATCCATCCCAGGAGCTGATGATCGCGATGGTGGTATACCAAGTAATGACGGCTCGGCCGCTATTGGTGGAGATGACTCTGAAGAGCACCAAACGGCGAAGCGTAGTGGTAGTAGTAGTTCTGCAACGTAAACAGCATCAATTCCGCCTTGCATTCTAAGATTAGGGTTGCGGCCTTGGCTGCTACGGCGGTTGGGCTGTCCCTACTCCCCTTCTCTGAAACGTAATATTATTCTCCTCCTTATTCGTCTCGTATCGCTATTCTAATCTTGCCGTAGCAGTAGCAGTCCTTAGCCTTCTACGGTGCATGTACCATCATCTCTCTGTGCGTGGAAGCTGTGGTGATGACGATGATGATAATGATGATGATGATCACAATGATAATATAGCCACCATTGCCTTGTAGTCGAGAGGCTCGACTTAATCCTGCCTAAATGAGTTGGTGTTGAGTGACAAGCTTCTAGTCAAACGTTGTGGCACATCTCCATCAGTAACAGCAAATCCCCACAGGGAGCACGTTGAGACACCTAAGGTGGTCTACGCAAATGGAAGAATAGGGAGCGGATCTAAGTCGCATCTCAGTGTCTGGGGGTGGTCTACGGGCGTACTAGAAAGGAAGTTGTCAGCGTGAGCCGTAAAAGGAGACGGTATTAAGCTCATCAGATTGGAAGGAAGCCAAAACACATTTAAGCGGCATTAGCCTGGACTATTATGTTGCATGGTCGTGGGGATCTTACAGGTGCCTTCAACGACCTACTAAAATCAGCATTCGCATCTTGTGCTTTTCTTGATAAGCGCTTTATGGAGACGACCGAGTCGGTGGAAGAACTCAGTCAAGACTCCATTGTTGTCGTGTTCACATGATGTTGATCGAGCGTTGCGAGTTAGCTATCCTTTTAGGTTCCCATCTCCGCATATTTCGGGTCTTACCCCTCTCCTTTTGTCACTCGCGGACCGATCCTTCTATCGCTAGTGTTTTACGGCAGATGTCGTTCACCAGATGTTGAGGAAGTTAGTTATAGTCAGAGTCCCTCAACATCTGCCTGCGGGCGAAGGTGTTGGGCGGAAGAGAGAATACCCTGGTTATCTCGTTTCGATGCCCCCAAGTACTGACGCGGTCGCAGTGGACAACTGCTACGCGTTGCGTACCAAGGACAACGATTAAGCCAAGGCGTTCATTATGGCGCTTCCACCACCAACATGGAGGAAGGCCCCGCTTGAAGCCACTCATGCTCGAAATACTATCGCGTGGCGTTAGCTAGTTTTCGTTCGAAAGCCCCCGAGACCTATCACTCACGTAACTCTATTGGCCCCTCCCCCGTTCCTTCAAGGCCCTTTTGGCCACGAGAGGCGATTGTTAACCTTTTCCTAGTGATTAACCATCATTCATTCAACTCACAAGAAATACATACCACATCTGGTGTTTAGCCTCAGTAATAGGAAGATATCAATCACTTACAATCCGTTCTAACGTATGTGATTATAGAGTAGAATCATCATAGGCATATTACCGTTCGAAGCAAGGTATATCACAGTTGTTAGAGATTACCATGGGCGCTACTTCCCATTGTGAAGTTCACAATGGACTTCTTCATTACCCTAGCGGATTTCATATTGTACTGCAACAACTGGTGTAAAAATGTAATCCGCGACCAAATGAATGATCAGACGGTAAGTCAGCGATTCATTTCTTCACAGTCACTCTGTGGAAAGAAGAATATGTCTTATCGCATCACTTCAGCGTACTGAATACACTCAGATGCTCTAAAGGGGCATGATGAATGATCAGACGGTAAGTCAGCGATTCATTTCTTCACAGTCACTCTGTGGAAAGAAGAATATGTCTTATCGCATCACTTCAGCGTACTGAATACACTCAGATGCTCTAAAGGGGCATGATGAATGATCAGACGGTAAGTCAGCGATTCATTTCTTCACAGTCACTCTGTGGAAAGAAGAATATGTCTTATCGCATCACTTCAGCGTACAGAATACACTCAGATGCTCTAAAGGGGCATGATGAATGATCAGACGGTAAGTCAGCGATTCATTTCTTCGCAGTCACTCTGTGGAAAGAAGAATATGTCTTATCGCATCACTTCAGCGTACTGAATACACTCAGATGCTCTAAAGGGGCATGATGAATGATCAGACGGTAAGTCAGCGATTCATTTCTTCACATACACTCTGAGGAGAAGATGTCTTCGCAACTTCACTTCACATGCATTCAGATTTGCAGAATTCCAATGGTGTACTCGTCACGCGCATGGCGTCAGAGTCTAACGTATGAAAGTAATCATCATTTGCATGTAAGAGTACCCCAATTGACAGAAACATCACACAACAAAAAAAGATGTCGCAACCGCGAATCAAGGCGATCGAAGGGAACAACCACGACTTGGAGAGTCCATCGTTTACTCTTCCTGGTTGATGGAGAAGTAACGGAGCTCGTAGGTGTTCTTGTTGCTGGCGACAACCCTCAAGAAATCACGGAGGAGCTGCTTCTTCAAGTACTTCTTGGTCAAGTACTACACAAGACAAAAAGCATGCAATCACTAATTACGGTGAAGAGACGAGGATTAGAGAGCACCTACTAGGAAGACGCACACGACAAGCGCGGCGTTTCCAGGGAAGGTGGCCCTGGGCTTACCTTGAGGTAACGCTTGGAGAAGGGGGCAGAGGCGGTGACGACGATCTTGGCCTTGCCAGTCTTGGCGACAGTGACGCGCTCACCGAGGTTGCCGGTCTTACCCTCGACCTTAATGCGGTTGCGGAAGAACTCAGCCTGAAAAAAGACTATAAGAACCAGCAAAACTACATCTCAGAAGTTCCTCAAAAGCTAACGGTTCGAGAGAGTCAGAAAAGATTAAGTCAGCTGTGTATAATCATCATGATCATACGGGGAAAGAATAGTTCTCATCATTCAGACACGAACCGTTCAACACGGAAGCGTTAAGTGATCCCAACTTACCAAAGACTCGGCATCGATGACGTTGTCGTTGACAGGCTTCTCGCAGTCAACAACAAACTTCAAGGTCTGCTTCTCGACCTTCTTAGTGGCCTTCTTAGTGATTCCCTTAACAACCATGGTGATTGATTCGTGGTTTTACTCTGCTCTCCCACCGAGCATAGCTATCGTATTATCGATCACGAAATCGATCTCAGATTTCTTGCAAGTGCACGAAAACAGCACGTGTAGGACGACGAACACGTGTAGCAGCAAGCAGTATGTCCGACTCGATTCGCATACCAGTACGCTTGTTTGTGGGGAAACTCCCTGCGGCGTGGAACGAGCAGAACATTCGCGATCTATTCGAGGCGTAAGTCGTTTAACACAGTCGTTGGACTTGTCTTCACATGTGTGCAGGTATGGTGAAGTGCAGGAAGTAGGCCTGATCAGACCTAAAGAAAACGGCAAGCAGCAGACAGGTAACGAATATCGGCCTTATTGTAAAGTCGACTTGGTGAAGTGTTTGTTGTCCAATAGTAGGGTTCTATTACTACTAGTAGTAGCTTTTCCTCTCTCGTGTTGTACTAGCGTACATTCCGTCAGCCTTACCATTATGATCGACGGTTGAGCATGACCGTGATCATCATCATCAGTCTTGAATACTACTACATGACCCTGTCCGTTGTTGAGCTTGTTGTATCCCTCCAGGCTGTGCATTCGTTAAGTTTGGTGCTGTCCATGAAGCCGCTACTGCCATCAAATCTCTTAATGGAACTTACAAAGCTGACGATGTACTACTATCATCTATTCTTCACTCTTCTCCTCGACTACAGGCTCGTATTTCAACTATGTGATTCTATCCTAATCTTCGTCATTTTGTTCTTACTCGTATTGGTTTACTTTTTTCGGCTCGTTATGGTGGCAACTTCTACTATGCTTTAGGCCCCTGGCTTCGTTCAAGTGCAGTTCGCCAATGGTGAACCCGAGAGGCTTGGCCTTCCCGAAGACACTGAGGGTTACTCTCAGAAGTTGTTCGTGGGCAATGTGAGCAGTCTTCTTTCCGCAGCTAAGGCGATGCTATTCTTCCCTAGGTTCCCCCGTCTACGAGCGATGATGAGCTGAAGCAGATTTTTGACGAGTATGTGCTTTTCCTCGGAGTTTTTTGAGAGGGAGTTTTCCAAGGTACGGTAATGTCACCGAAGCCTACAGCCTGGAGTCGAAGCGGGCCAGTGGGAATAAGGCAGCGTTCGTGAGATTCTCGAAGAAGTCGGACGCTCTCAAGGCCATTGACGCTCTTAACGATAAGTACACCTTCCCTGGCGAGCCCCATCCTATTACGGTGAAATGTGCTGATACGAGAGAACAGAGGTCGGTCATGAGTCCTTCGTTTGAGTGCAGTGATTGCTGATAGGCTCGCGCATAAACAGGAGTTTGATTCTCATCGTTTCCAAGGAGGTGGAGACAGACCTTTCCGTACTCCCGACCAAGGCGGATTCGATAGAATGCAACAATTAGGAAGTGCTTCACGAGATGGCTTCCAAAGCCGATCTGGAGGATACCAACCACCTGTAGGTGAGTCGAATATGCTACTGTATTCTATCGTGGTTACATCAGCCCCCACCACCCGCCGTAGCGCAGCCTCGTCGGGCTGGCCCTTGGACTGAATATCTCAACCATCCGGACGGCCGATATTATTACCACAACTCCCAGACGGGACAGACCCAGTGGGAGGTGCCCTTCGAGGTGAGTCTTAAGGGGCTTGTCATTGAAGATTTGCAAAAGTCTCTCAGTTTCAAAACATGGGTCCGCCTCCGCCACCTCCTCAGCAGCAACCTCAGAGTGCCGGGTATGTACCGTAGTGAGATGTGGCAGTATTCGTTGCCTCTGACAGGTTCCAACAAACCCCCCAGGGTGGTGTTAACCTAGGACCAGGCGGCGGCTATGGTCAGATGAACATGTCCCTTTCGGGTCAGCAATCTGGCAGATCGCAACAGCAGCAACATGGCAAGAACGGCCCTCCGGGAGGTGGTTGGTTATGGTTTCTGGGATGTAGTCATTTTGTATGTCATCAGCTAACGTTTTCGTGTACAACATTCCTGGCGATTGGAAGGACGGTGACCTCGCGAGGGAATTTTCTTCTTGCGGGTCGATTTCCACGACAAAAAAATCATGGCATGGCCCAGTTTCTCGCCAGACCTGAACCCCATAGAGAACTACTGGGGCCTCTTGAAGAGGTAATTTAGTCTCCTACGCTACTCTACAGACTTCTCCGTCCACTACAGAGCGATATACCGTCAAGGTGCACAGTTCGACACCACGGATCAACTGTGGTCGGCGATCCAGAAGGCAGCAGCAGAGGTGACAGCAGAGGACGTCCGAAAGTTGACATGTTCCATGGATAGACGTGTGGAGAGACTCCTCCTATGTCGTGGTGGCCATGTTGGCTCATGATTTTTCCTAGAGTTCCTCACAGAATAGCCCAGCATGATTGAGTTGCATAACGGTTTGGGTCGGTCGGAAGGGTCCGGAAATTTTCGTGCGCCCATAACATAACAATGGATGATGAAACGGTTCTGAAACGGTGTCAATCGATTTTCACTCTCATTATCAGTACACCTTTCAAAGATCATTGATAAACTCTCCTTATTGAGCAAGTTACCTCAAAAAAGGTGATTTGCATAACGGTTTGGTTCGCACTGTACATACCACATTTGCTGCTTAGCCTCAGAAATAGGAAGATATCAATCACTTACAATCCGTTCTAACGTATGTGATTATGGAGTAGAATCATCATAGACATATTACCGTTCAAAGCAAGGTAAATCACAGTTGTTAGAGATTATTATGGACGCTACTTCCCATTGTGAAGTTCACAATAGACTTCTTCATTACCCTGTCAGATTTCATATTGTACAACAGCAACTTGTGTAAAGATGTAATCCACGACCAAATAAATGATCAGACGGTAAGTCAGCGATTCATTTCTTCACAGTCACTCTGTGGAAAGAAGAATATGTCTTATCGCATCACTTCAGCGTACTGAATACACTCAGATGCTCTAAAGGGGCATGATGAATGATCAGACGGTAAGTCAGCGATTCATTTCTTCACAGTCACTCTGTGGAAAGAAGAATATGTCTTATCGCATCACTTCAGCGTACTGAATACACTCAGATGCTCTAAAGGGGCATGATGAATGATCAGACGGTAAGTCAGCGATTCATTTCTTCACAGTCACTCTGTGGAAAGAAGAATATGTCTTATCGCATCACTTCAGCGTACTGAATACACTCAGATGCTCTAAAAGGGCATGATGAATGATCAGACGGTAAGTCAGCGATTCATTTCTTCACAGTCACTCTGTGGAAAGAAGAATATGTCTTATCGCATCACTTCAGCGTACTGAATGCACTCAGATGCTCCAAAACAGCATGATGAATGATCAGACGGTAAGTCAACGATTCATTTCTTCACAGACACTCTGAGGAAAAGACGTCTTCGCAACTTCACTTCACATGCATTCAGATTTGCAGAATTCCAATGGTGTACTCGTCACGCGCATGGCGTCAGAGTCTAACGTATGAAAGTAATCATCATTTGCATGCAAGAGTGCCCCAATTGACAGAAACGTCACACAACAAAAATGTCGCAACCGCGAATCAAGGCGATCGAAGGGAACAACCACGACTTGGAGAGTCCATCGTTTACTCTTCCTGGTTGATGGAGAAGTAACGGAGCTCGTAGGTGTTCTTGTTGCTGGCGACAACCCTCAAGAAATCACGGAGGAGCTGCTTCTTCAAGTACTTCTTGGTCAAGTACTACACAAGACAAAAAACATGCAATCACTAATTACAGTGAAGAGACGAGGATTAGAGAGCACCTACTAGGAAGACGCACACGAGAAGCGCGGCGTTTCCAGGGAAGGTGGCCCTGGGCTTACCTTGAGGTAACGCTTGGAGAAGGGGGCAGAGGCGGTGACGACGATCTTGGCCTTGCCAGTCTTGGCGACAGTGACGCGCTCACCGAGGTTACCGGTCTTACCCTCAACCTTGATGCGGTTGCGGAAGAACTCAGCCTGAAAAAAGACTATAAGAACCAGCAAAACTACATCTTTAGAAGTTCCTCAAAAGCTAACGGTTCGAGAGAGTCAGAAAAGATTAAGTCAGCTGTGTATAATCATCATGATCATACGGGGAAAGAATAGTTCTCATCATTCAAACACGAACCGTTCAACACGCAAGCCTCAAGTGCTCCCAACTTACCAAAGACTCGGCATCGATGACGTTGTCGTTGACAGGCTTCTCGCAGTCAACAACGAACTTCAAGGTCTGCTTCTCGACCTTCTTAGTGGCCTTCTTAGTGATTCCCTTGACAACCATACTTATTGATTCGTGGTTTTACTCTGCCCTCCCACCGAGCATAGCTATCGTATTATCGATCATGAAATCGATTTCAGATTTCTTGCAAGTGCACGAAAACAGCACGTGTAGGCCGACGAACAAGTGTAGCAGCAAGCAGTATGTCCGACTCGATTCGCATACCAGTACGCTTGTTTGTGGGGAAACTCCCTGCGGCATGGAATGAGCAGAACATTCGCGATTTATTCGAGGCGTAAGTCGCTGAACACAGTCGTTGGACTTGTCTTCACATGTGTGCAGGTACGGTGAAGTGCAGGAGGTAGGCCTGATCAGACCTAAAGAAAACGGCAAGCAGCAGACAGGTAACGTCGAATATCGTCATCATTGTAAAGTTGACTTTGTGAAGTGTTTGTTGCCAATAGTAGGGTTCTATTACTACTAGTAGCTCTTCCTCTCTCGTGTTGTACTAGCGTACATTCCGCCAGCCTTACCATTATGATGAATGGTCTTGCACGACCGTTTCACTACATGGCTACTGTCCGTTGTTGACTTTGTTGTATCCCTCCAGGCTGTGCATTCGTTAAGTTTGGTGCTGTCCATGAAGCCGCTACTGCGATCAAATCTCTTAATGGAACTTACAAAGCTGACGATGTACTACGATCACCTATTCTTCACTCTTCTCCTCGACCACAGGCTCGTATTTCAACTATGTGATTCTATCCTAATCTTCGTCATTTTATTCTTACTCGTATTGGTTTACTTTTTCCGACTCGTTATGATGGCAACTTCTACTATGCTTTAGGCCTCTGGCTTCGTTCAAGTGCAGTTCGCAAATGGTGAGCCCGAGAGACTTGGCCTGCCCGAAGACACTGAGGGTTACTCTCAGAAGCTGTTCGTGGGCAATGTGAGCAGTCTTCTTTTTGAAGCTAAGGCGATGCTATTCTTCCCTAGGTTCCGCCGTCTACGAGCGATGATGAGCTGAAGCAGATTTTTGACGAGTATTTGCTTTTCCTCAGAGTTTTTTTAAAGGGAGTTTTCCAAGGTACGGTAATGTCACCGAAGCTTACAGCCTGGAGTCTAAGCGGGCCAGCGGGAATAAGGCAGCGTTCGTGAGATTCTCGAAGAAGTCGGACGCTCTCAAGGCCATTGACGCTCTTAACGATAAGTACACCTTCCCTGGCGAGCCCCATCCTATTACGGTGAAATGTGCTGATACGAGAGAACAGAGGTCGGTCATGAGTCCTCCGTTTGAGTGCAGTGATTGCTGATAGGCTCGCGCATAAACAGGAGTTTGATTCTCATCGTTTCCAAGGAGGTGGAGACAGACCTTTCCGAACTCCCGATCAAGGAGGATTCGATAGAATGCAACAAATAGGAAGTGCTCCACGAGACGGTTTCCAAAGCCGATCTGGAGGATACCAACCACCTGTAGGTGAGTCGAATATGCTACTGTATTCTATCGTGGTTACATCAGCCCCCACCACCCGCCGTAGCGCAGCCTCGTCGGGCTGGCCCTTGGACTGAATATCTCAACCATCCAGACGGCCGATATTATTACCACAACTCCCAGACGGGACAGACCCAGTGGGAGGTGCCCTTCGAGGTGAGCCTTAAGGGGCTTGTCATTGAAGATTTGTAAAAGTCCCTCAGTTTCAAAACATGGGTCCGCCTCCGCCACCTCCTCAGCAGCAACCTCAGAGTGCCGGGTATGTACCGTAGTGAGATGTGGCAGTATTCGTTGCCTCTGACAGGTTCCAACAAACCCCCCAGGGTGGTGTTAACCTAGGACCAGGCGGCGGCTATGGTCAGATGAACATGTCCCTTTCGGGTCAGCAATCTGGCAGATCGCAACAGCAGCAGCAGCAGCAACATGGCAAGAACGGCCCTCCGGGAGGTGGTTGGTCGTGGTTCCCGGGATGTAGTCATTTTGTATGTCATCAGCCAACGTTTTCGTGTACAACATCCCTGGCGATTGGAAGGACGGTGATCTCGCGAGGGAATTTTCTTCTTGCGGGTCGATTTCCACGACAAAGTAGTGACGGTTGTCGTAGTGTGAGGGGAGATTTGTCGTGCGAGCAGGGTCATTATCGATAACGCGACGAACCACTCCAAGGGCTATGGCTTCGTCTCTTTCAATGAAGTGCCAAGTGCTGTAACAGCCGTGAGAAATATGGATGGTTTCACTACACATACTGGAAAGCGGCTGAAGGTGCAGGTAGCCTTGCGATGAATATGAGACTCTCGAACAACCGGCTCGGGAATTTTCTGATTGTTAGATTAAGAAGGGCGAGGAGGAAGCTGCTGCTCAGATCATGGGATTGTCGTTGAGTCAAATTCGCGGAAGTAATATTGCTGCTCTTCATTGGTGGTGAATGGTCGTTTTCAGTGGGCCAAGGGCGTGGGTCTAACCCTTACTGAGACCGTGAAGTCGTTACTTCTACTTAGTCGGTTGAGCTACGTTACAGTTGACTGTACAATACATATGAGCGGCTTGTGTTGGTCACTAATGGGGAGGGTTGTCATTAGTGATGTCGCGCACGTACAATGGTGCTGCTATTGACCCTGAGGAAGAGGCGGTGCTGGTGACACGGGCGGGAAGTGTGCGAACTAATGGGCGGTACTACAGGACGGACCGAACCAGCGTTGAAGGAGTAGTGATGTACAGAAAGGTGCTACTTGGTGAGTATTCGCTAAGGAGGCGTTTATTGTCAGCCTGGCACTAATTTGGGGCTGATTTACTGGGAGGATGGTAAGTGGTATATTGCTGATTGTGGAGACGAGTTCAGCCCGGCTGGGGAGGACCATCTGGACTTCTATTCGGCCTCTGTTGTTGGACCGCGGAAAGAGAAAGTCCCAGAGAAAGGGTAGGTGTTGTTGAGGCGTGTCCAACACTATTACTGTTGCTGATGACACTATAGACTACTCAGTGTTACAAGTCACCATTATAGGTCGCCTTTATTACCGAGTTAGTAATAAAGGCGATCAATACTATTGTACGTTAGTCATGTTGTCTATTATCGAGAACATAAAGGGTGCTTATATTTCCGTGAGTTTCTATCGAGTTGTGGTCGTGGTAGAAAGTCTCGATAGAGGCATTTTGTGTAGGTGGGCAGTTGAGGAAGATGGTGTTGCTCCTGCCCCCGAAATATCATTTGGAGACGACTGTACAGCGAAAGGCTCAGCATCGATATTAATGGGTGATGATGATCCTCGGCAGCTCATGATTGCTGATGGTCATGTACTAGGTAAAGTGAAGGTGGCCCTACGTCAAAGCGGTGATGTGGTTTCTGAGGACCTTGTACTCGACTGTCGCTCAGCAATCGCTCTTAACCCAACGTTTGATGCATATTTCACACTAGCGACGGTAAACACCTTCAGGAGTAGTCGCATGGGAGGCGTCATCGAGAATAGATACTAGAGAGGCTTGGGAAGGGAGAGGAGGCGTACGAGGCGATAGCGGAACTCGGAGGTGCTGAGTGGATAAAGCATGGCGCGCCGGAGAACTATTACGTTATGGAGCAGCGGAAAGAAGTAGCCGAGGTGTGGTATTACATTTGGAGGTGAATGCTCGCTGATGATAGGCTAGTGAGCTGTTGGCGAGAGTGAGGGATCCTAATAAGGAGGATATCGCCCACCTTTGTAAAATACTACTCGATACGAGAATCCATCGGTGCGTGGTTCTACTAGTATGATCGTCTGGCATGGACTTGTCAGATTCACCGATTTTATGGTACGGGTATCGAAAACACTGCGAGATATGCTCGAATCGAAAGCAGGGCATGGGTACTATATGGATGATACTAATGACGACCACCACCACGATGATGATGATGGATCGGTGACTACAGCGAGAGAGTATGCGAGAAGGTAAGCTGATCTTGGAGGGCTTAATGAGGCTCTCGTGGTTTCAGACAGAGGGAGTTCAGAGAGAACGATGGCGTTAGTGTGGCGCATAACATGAGGATGCTATATAGGAATATAGATAGATTTACTTTCGATGTGGGGCGGGCGCGATGGTGATGAAATTTTAGTGAAATTTTCAGACTCGAGATGTGGCATTGACGCGAACCAAACTGTTCTCGGCCGCTGATGCATTCCGTGCCTTTGCCACTCCGGAGGCTCAGAGACTTGATAGCAAGGGCGTCGATGCTACATTCAAGAAGTGAGGAAGATATTGTTATAGTTCTGCCAGCGAACGAAGCCCTTGACAGGTTTTGGCAAACAGATGTGCAAAATGACGATAACCCTTACGAAAGCACTGAGTCGAAATTGAAAGACACTGACCCAGAGAAGGAAGACAAGTGCCCCGTCATCAAGAACATCAACGAAAGTGCGTCCAGGATCGTTTTTATCATCAGCAATCGACTTGATGTGCTCCAGGTGAGGACTTGGAGGCTGAGCAAGACCGTCAGGAGGCGTATCGGAAACGCCTGTGGGATGGTGGTAGACCATGGGAGGTAAAACGGGGTAGGAGACTCATATAGTGTCGCATCACGCTGTAAAGGGTTATGTTATTCCTAGGTGTCAGGTTGGCGAAATCTCGCTGGGCACTTTACACGCTCACGACTGCAATGCCCAGTTGAAGCTGATATCAGTGCATGGCGTGGTATTCGACGTTTCAGAAAATCTAGACAAGTATTATCATTCGATAAATCGGTCGTGCTGTTGTACAGTTGCTGCAGATATGCACCAGATGGAGAGTATTTCTTTTTCGCTGGTCGGGACATCACTTGGCCGCTCGCCACGAGTGCCCTTAACGGCGAGTACGCGGACCAGTTCTACAACCTCACTCCAGCTATGCGAAAGAAGGTGATGGAGTAACGCCCTGTGGGCCTAATGGGTGCCGTCAGGTTTACGGTTGGATGGAGTACTATGAGAAGAAATACAAAGTCGTGGGATATCTGGACAAGTACCATACGGAGGAGGAATTCCCGGAACCTCCTCCAGAGGACCAACAACCTGAGATGGAGTGTAATATTCTGCAATTGGAGTCGTTCGCTGATTCCTTGAATTTGTACTACCCGTGGGAGTTGAACCCGCGGTCTATGAGATGATGAAGTGCATTTCTGTGTTTGTAGGTACGATCATGTGAGTGCTATCATTTTTTAGTTTTCAAATACGTATTCCTATTCTAAAACACTCAACACATTCTAAAGCCTACCAGATGACTGGTAGAGTGCTGAATACGCTATATTATCGGAGTTTGTCTTGAGTTGGAGTGAAGTGAATGTGACAGTGAAAATCAAACTAGGGAGTTCCTGCCGGAATAATTCTGTAAAGAATTGCGCTATTCACGAAAGAGGTATAATCGATGCAGTACGGGCACTAACTCGAGTACGAAGTACGGTCGTGTTACTCAAGTCACTGTATGTATTATGGCCGTAAACTCACCAGCTGTGCGATATTTTGAGCAACATATAGTTCTACGATGGGATCGCTTGATGCTCGTCGCAAGTGCATGCGTGCTTATACATTCATACATTCCCGCGATTGTTATGTATATGACATTCAATCGGTGACTACAACACAAGCCTTCCTGCTTTTGTTGACTAGAAAACGAGGAAGATAACAAAAGCGTACATCATACTGTCTAATGTGGCTACCATCTAGCTACAGTAACCAGCACCATCACTATAATCTACCAATAAGAGTATCCAATCATCATCGTCTAGACGCCTGCCTTTGATAATACGCCATGTCATGACCGGCGGGTCGATCGTATACCATGTGACCATGAGAAGGTCGCTGCTTCGACGGTAATGGTCGGGCTCGGGCAGGGGTGCCCCCACTGCGTCTCCGCTGCTTTCTCGATGGCCCTGGAGTTGGCCTGGGACAAAGGGTGTCATAATGGAAGCATGAAGGCACCACTTTCCTACCGATCATCATTGATACTCATCTCTTGAGCCGAGCGTGGTCGTAGGGATACCGCAGGTCTGTCTGCTACCCCCGAGACGCTCTGAGACCGAGGCGGCTGATCTCGTACGAGCTGAAATGTATGACTAGATGATTTGCATATGAGAGTGCGGAAACTCACTGGTTTGAGGTCGTCCTGGGAAAAATCATTGCGACTTGTGGAAGAGGTCCGTCGCCAACCCCTCACCGGTGGGAAAGAGGGATCACTCGGAGCGCTTGATGCCCCGTAGATCGCGAACGTGCCGACTTCCTCCTTCATCATATACCGCGAGCCTTGTTGGTTTGTGGTCTCCAGAGAATTCAAAGGCGTCTCCTTCTCCACTGCTGTGGACTGCTTACGCATATCATACACCCTTTCTCGTGGGCCTGGCTTGATAGAACCATAATTCGCTACTTCCTTCTCCTCCCAAGATTCCTTAGGAACTTCACATTTGGTCCACTCGGCCGCCGCACTTTGCCGAGGCGTCGATCGCCATGAATCCTCCCCAGCTCGCGTTTCCTCAGCCTTCCACGCATCAACCATTTTGTCGCCAGGCCCCGACCTCGGCTCTTCCCACTCCGCCTTCTCCCATTGACCCTCCGACCGTCGCTTTGACCTGTCCCCATCCCATCCCCCTCCACCATAACCCTCCCAACTCTCTCGCTTCACTTTACTAGGATTGGACCGCGTTGGAGTTCCCAACGACTGGCCGCCCATACTCCGAGGCCTCTTACTCACCGGTCGAGCATCGTAAGTAGATACCTGATCACAACTAAGCCCGGCCAACCACGAAGAGGGAACTATACGCTCACCCTTGAGCGTTCGACAGGCTTCGGCGACTCGTCATACAGCCGCCGCTCGTGGGCCTCCACCTCCTCCAACGACTTCCTCTTCTTGTCTTCTTCCGACGTGACAGCTGCCCAGCCGCTTCCCATGGACGCATCGGCTACCCCCTGCCCCTCCTGAGCTCCCGCCGTCATCCCGATCATATCCTTCTCTTGTCCAGGCTTGTGGGTGACTACTGTAATGACCTCCTGCTTACCGTTACGGTTCCTGCCTCCTCGCCGACCACGGTTTCCAGAGCTCCTATGCGCCTCTTGCGGAGCCCTATCAGCTGTATGTTGCCTTTGATATGGCTCCTCTGCGGAAGCATGGGGACCGTCCCGATCGTTTCCACCATTTTCTCTGCTCTCATTTAAGACCTCTTGATTCGGGAAGGCAGGCGCAATCCACCTGAAGTCCGACCATGGTACCACCACTGAACGCGACTACTGCTACTTCCTTTCCTGTGGGCCTTGGACCGTCCCCGCTGGTGCGGCAACTCCGGGAGACGCAGACCCCCGAGGCGACGGTGTGGGCTTAGATGATGCTAGCGCCAATTCCCTTGCTGTTCGCCGAGCCGCCTCAGCCTGAAGAACGGCGATACAAATCCCATGCCCTGGGCCCCTCCCACTTCTCTGTCGAGTTCCAGCTGTTGTTGGAGCTTCAGCTTAGCCTGCGCATCAGCCACCTCCTGCTTAGTCTTCAACCACGACGATGTAAATGCCACCTGTACAGACTTGGTTCAATACGGACCGGATGCTCTCGCCTTCACCTTCACGACCACCTCCTTCTCCGTGTCCACCACCATACTCCTCACGACCAGCTTCCCAGAGCTGTCGATCCAGCCAGCGTCAATCAGCTTGCTGGGATCAGACTGGAGGTCGAGGAGGCCCGACCAGCCCCTGCGCGCGCCACAAAAATCCCCCTGCGGCGATAGATGATCCTATTACAGTGTTGGCTGGTCTTTGCTGAACACTCCGGGACCGTATCGGATTATGGAAGTACTCGGGGACCTGACGTGCCTGCCCTCAACACCATCACGGTAATAACAACTTTACTTGTAATTTGGTATCCACAACATGACCTGTTTGCTCAGAGGTTGAGGGGCCCAGGGATAAGCAGCGCCTGCGACATCTAGTAGCAGCAAGAATGAGATCACTGCTGTTTCCTACCAACAAAGGGACTTTGAGGTTTCTGCCCATCCTCAACAACCACATTGACAGCAAGCCAACTATCCGTGGGCTTCCTCTGAGCCGCCGGAAGGTCCTTCAGTTGATATCTGCCAATGGTCGGCTGAGAGGCGATACGGAGGAGCCCTGCTACCCTCTGGGGAAGATTTGCATCTGATGCCTGCACGTATGCTCGGGAGAGGATTGCCACCGACTCGACAAGACCGTGGACCGCAGTGGAAGCCGTGCCCGTTTGTCCGTCCATAACTCCAATACCTAATCCGATACCATCCATCCGTCAACTCACAGCACGCTGCCCTACAAACTCGGCCTCTCCTGGTCGTAGTGGTGGCAATACAGAAGCCATGAGCTCCGAGTACTTGGGACCAGTACTGCTAGCAGGCTTACGAGTGTCACTTATTGCGATACGTGCAGGAACGGTCGGCGCCGGTGCAGCTGCCGTGGGAGCGCCGACAGTCGTGGCTGAAGAGAGGATAGTGATGAGGGTATTAGATCAGTGGTACTCACTCGGAGCGATACTGCCACCCACTGTTGGGATTGCCGCTTCCGGCGTGGCTGCGTTGGGCACCGGTCGGACGCAGGTTCGATCCCCGCGTACGTCAACCGTAGAAGTTGGTAAAACAGCAGGTGGCGCTCCTACATGCAACTACCATCGAGTTCCTCAGACCCCATCGCTACCCGCATTGAGCACAGCCGTTTGAGGATGTGCCAAGATCTGGTCAGAAGATGTAGCCCTTGGGCCGCCCCCCTGGGCTGGCATTCGCTGCGGGACCACTTGGTCGGCACTAGAAGTGGAAATGGTGTGGTATTAAAAATACTTCCTCCCCTACCGCGAGACACCTTGAGCGTTCGAGTTCGCCACTCCTTTGCCACCCTTGCCTTTCCTTTGACGTTGATCATATCGACTCCCCGACCGAGCCATGCCAGGGTGGGTCATCCCCGGTCTAGATGCTGGCGTATTCGGGCCCGGCATCGCTCCGCTAGGACTGGCCACGACCAAAGGCTCCGGTCTTCCCGCTTGTGCTACAGCCTGCCCACGTTGTGGGGTACTGGGCCCCTGCTGATCAGGAACCGAGTAGCGAGGGGTATGAGCATTGAAGGACTGCTGGCTCTGAGGATGGGGCCGCCCTTGAACCTGCTGCTGCCACTGCTGAGGAGGTGACCCTGCTCCCTTCCCAGCTGCCGAGCCACTCGGCTGCATCACAGACGTGCCCATGAGAGGCATTGTAGTAGCCATGGTTGGCTGAGAGCCCATACACTGCTGTGGGTAACCCTGGGCAGGTGATGCACCATTGTAGTAGCCGGTAGCACCTTGAATAGGGAGCATCTGGGAGGGTGGTGGGGCCCGCGGAAGAGTCGTCGAGGCGGGCGCGTAGTATTGGTTGTATCGGCCATAGTATGGGCCATACGGTGACCCATTACCACCTTGCTGTGCGCTGAAGCCATACTGCTGTTGTTGAGGGTACAACTGAACACGAAAACACCACGGATGTTACGAAAGTTATTACTATTACTAATACTACTAATAGTACTAATAGTACTAATAGTACTAATAGTACTAATAGTACTAATAGTACTAATAGTACTAACTACTACTACTACTACTACTACTACTACTACTACTACTACTACTACTACTACTACTACTACTACTACTCATTCATTCATTCATTGAGCGCTTCAGTCCAACTAAGGGACAAGCGCGCCCCGAATAATAGTAAATTTATGCCATTTCCCTCTGTCCATGGCTTTCTCCCTGATGTTTCTCCATCTCCCTCCACGATCCTCCACATCCTGTTTGACAAGCTTCAACCACTTCGAATCAGATTCAATCTCTGATTCTATCCATTCTCTTTGAACCGCATCCCTAGGTTGCCGCAGAGCATGACCAAACCAACGTAAACGTCTTTGATTCATAATCTCCTTAACGGTAGAGCCTTCCAACCAGTCCAGGATTTCAGCCTCACCCACTTTCCAATCGAACTCACCATCAACATCACCATTATTCGACTGGTTAGTGTTCCGACCCCACCTTATGATATTGCTAACCAATTTGTTGCAGCACCTTTGCAACCTTTCCACATCGTTCTTGACGTACACCCAGGTTTCGCAATTGTATAGAAGAACACTCATTACGCAGCTCTTGAAAATACGTTTTTTGGTCATGGCGAGAATTCCTCTAGCCTTCCAGATGTTTTTCAGATCGTTGAACACAGCAACCGCCCTTCCCAATTTCTCGGTTTATTTCCCTGGTTAGTTTCATTTTCGCTGTGAGCAAGGTACCCAAATACACCATTGACCCTACACATTTCATTTCTGTCCCTCGACTAG